GGCCAGCGCCCCCAGAACCCTGGGGGCGCACCCGAGACCTGGGCTCTCAGGCCCTGCGGGCGCTCGGTGGCCGGATCTTCTAGCAGGAAGGAGCCGGAAGACTGCTGTGGCCCCTTCCCCCCGCTTTCATCCAAGGCCCTTCAGTTTTCCTTGAGGAAAGCCTTGGCCCCTCCATCTGTGTGCTTTTGGGGGCAGAGTGTCCCCACTGCCCGCTTCAGCAGACCCAGTCCCATTATGCACTCTGTAACAATCTGGAAAAATACCTTTTTTAACATCCTGACATTTGTTAAATAGGGAGGGCAAGCCCACGGGGGACGCCCACACTAAGGATGGGGCAGTGGCAGGGTTCGCACAGCTTGTGCCCTGCATCAGCTACATCCGAAACCCTTCAACTTCCCTGTTCACTGGGACCTTTCTATTTAAGCCAGTCTGAATAATCGATTGCTTTTTTCAAAGAGATGTTTGCTATAGGGTGCGTGCACTTGCCAGAGAGACAGAGAAAGAAACAGAAAGCGAGGGGAACATACACCTAGCGTGAGTTTAAGCGAGTTTAAGCCTCCCAGTCCAGGACTCAAACCACTGTTGACTACAGGGGAGTCCAGCGACATGACCACTATGCCATCTGCCGGTCCCCAGGGTGAATAATCTAAAAGAGGCCTTTCACATACAGCTTCCAGTCTCTGCAGTCTACATAAACATCCCTTTCCTTGAACCCATTCCAGGACAGGAAGCCCGGCAGCTGACCGTCCAGTTGCCCATCCAGTTGGGGTGGGAGCACTTTAGATGTTAGGCCACATTTATGTGTATCAAACGTGTTTTTTTTAATTTCCTGCATTTTATGATATTTTGACATCCTAGGGTTTGCTAATCCTGGAGAGACCTCCCCTCCAAGGACAGTAAACAACTTACCTACAGAACACATTCTTCTTATGCAAACCAGCCAGTCCAAAACCCGGGTCCCCAGCATCCTTTAACATTCTCCTCACACACCAACAGAAAGTTCCCCTGTCCTGCATCACCCCAGAGGCGGGTACCAGATAATCAGCCCCTCAACAGCCGAGATGACCCCGTCTACACGTGCCCACCCTGCTCTGTCTATCGCCTCCTGTGGAAGACTGGGCCATGCTTCCCCGACTCGTGCCTCGGGATCAGCCCCGGGACTTCTCCACTTGGCCCCGCACGCACGCTGAGCCCCCTTTGGGAACTGTGAATAATAAAACTTTCAATGGCATTGACTTCTACTGTGTCACTGTCACCTCTACAGAACAAGCCTCAGGTACCATGAATACACTGCTCCATAAAGGTCTCTCCCTCTTCTCCTTTTTTGGTTTGAAATTTTGGTCAGAGGGTGCATGCGCTACCAGAGAGAGAAAGTGGGACCGCGAGGAAGCGCCCCCATGGGGCATGTCACACCATGATCCCTTCTTCACCTCCGCCTCGTTTCAGGGTTGGGCACGCATGCACACACCATGTTTCTCAGGCCACCTGGACCAGGACTTGAACCGTTCACTCAGCTATGGGGGGATCCAGCTGCCTTCTCCACACCACAGACTGGCCCAGTCTCCCTTTTCTGTTCAGACATCTCCAAGGCCTAGCTCAAGATTGTGACCTTAGGGATAAAGAAAGCTTTCCTTTATCGGGCCTCTCCTCTGTGCCACACTCAGGTTAACTGCCTCCTCGGCATTTCTGACGTGGTCCTCGCAGCGGCCTGGGTGGCGCAGTTGCTGCCCACTGGACAGAGGAGGGTGCCGAGGGGCTGAGAAGGGAAGTGACTGGCGCGAGGCCTCGCATCCGGCAAGCACGAGTGGCCCGCACTAGTCTGCCTTTGCAGACGTCCCATGACTGCACCCTTCCATGGTTTCCCTCTGCACCCACCTGGCTCCCACCTGGCTGCTGGAAACCTCACGGTGCTCCCAGGCAGCAAGAGCGGAGCTCGGGGCCTAGCAGTGCGGGAGCAGCTGGTCTAGCTGGTCACGGAGACACCTTCTGTCTCCTTGCAGTGATTAATTAGCAAAACAGCACCAAGGTTTCACGGAAGACGGTTTTTCCAGGGACTTGTGGCAGGGTGTGGTTTATGACAGCGCACAGCCTAGGCCCCTCGCATGCGTCGTTCACAACAGGGTTTGTGCTCCTGTGAGAACCTAATGCTCCGCTGATCTGATGGCGGGGGCATATGCCCTCTGGCAGTTCCAAACATTTTCTTCACATGGCAAAGCCTATAGCAAAGTCCAATGGTAAACAGTAAACTGGTGAAAACACTCGTCCCCAGGGAAAAACCAATTTCTTTTTCTTTTTTCTTTTTAAACTTTAGACTTTAGATTTATTTAGGGCCATTTGCACGTATTTCTAGACTATGTAGCTAATTTTAAAAGATGACAGGACAGTTCCCCTCAGTGAGACCCTGGCCTAAATAATATTTGCTTTACTCATATAGCAAGAAGATGACTTTAAAGACGAAGCTTTCAATTTGCAGCACCAAAGGATGAAGCTACACGGGGCATCCTTCAAAAGTGACAATTAGGGATCCACCTAGCTTCTCAGCAATACAAGCCCAAGTGAGGCCTTCTGGTCCATGTGCTTGACATTCATGTTTCCTGCCTTGAAATTTCTTTTTGGTTGCATCCTTAGAACCCACTAGATCATTTTACTTTTCTGAGGTGCTAGTTCTGGTGCCCACAAAAAAAAAAAAATCAACTCTTCCTTTCTGGACTCCTTAGTTTCAAAGCTTGCATCATACAAAGCATAGCGGCAATCTTTTTCAGGAAGCGTTCCCACAAAATGCTTGAATGGATCAGTGACGGTTACCCCAACATCTCCAACCAAGATCTCTTTGCCTTCTTCAACAATGATACACTTTTTGTCTGCACTGAGACAGAAAATGACAGTCTTCTTTCTTTTCTTGATTTCTTCTGGTGTGGAGCATTTCCTAACTTCCATGTCATAAATAATGCGACATACTTCATCAGCGACTTGCACTCCTGAGGCCATCTTCGCGGTGGCTGTGGCAGGGACGCAGGGCAGGGAGCTGACCAGCGCCGAATCTGCGGAGTGTCCTCTTCACAGAAGTGGGACCAAGAGACCCGGAAAGACCAATTTCAATAACATAAAGAGCTCCTACAAGTTAAGAAAATTAAATGGCTCTGTGGCATGAAAAAATGCCGAGCTCACAAGTATGAGGTGCATGAAGACACCATCTTTACTTCTCTGGTTAGCAGTTTGCTCACACACTGTTGTCAAGGAGTGTGGAAACACAGAATCTTCTACATCAGCGCTCCCCAACCCAGGCCGCACAGCAAGAGGTGAACAGTGGGCAGGTGAGCCAGCTTCATCTGTGTTTACAGTCACTCCCCATTGCTCGGCTCCTACCCGAGCTCCGCCCCCATCAGATGAGTGGTGCATTAGATTCTCACAGGAGCACAAATGCTGTTGTGAACTACGCATGCGAGGGGCCTAGGCTGTGTACTGTCAAAAACCACACCCTGCCACAAGTCCCTGGAAAAATCGTCTCCCATGAAACCTTGGTGCCGACAAGGTTGAGGACCACTGCCCTACGTTGCTGATGGTGGTGCAAACTGGTACAACCAATGCCTGTGTCTGGGACTAGCCAATTCCATTTCTAGGAATTGTTGCTAGCGAGATCCTTGCACAATTGCAGTGAGCTTGGAGAAGCGGAGGGTGAGGCAGGAAGGCATTGACCACATGTGGGCTGAATAAGGACTGATAACAGCGAGACGCCTCACTGAGGCCAGGCACTCACAGTTCTTTAAACTGCGCTCGAACTGTGCCTTCTGCTTACGCACACGGACAAGAAAATGTTCATGCCTAGCTCTTTTAGGAGTTAGGTCTTAGATGTCCTGAGGGCCAGCTGGGTCAGGCTACATGCTGCTGTCCCTGCCCACAGACGAAGTCCTAGTTCGATCCACAGCTCCTCCAGGAGGGTGACCACCCACGATGAGGCAGTAGGGAGAGGTCAGCTGGCACCCTCACAACACCCTGACTGGAATGCAAAATGGTGCAGCCACTTTGGAAAATAACTGAGAGGCTCTTGAAACCAGAAACACAGAGGCAATCCCCACTGCATAACAGAGAGAAGTGAAAACAGTGAGGACGTCTACACGGAAACCTGCACACGGATATACAGAGCAGCGGCTTGTGCGAGAGTCAGAAAAGGGTCCCCGATGTCCCTCAACCGAGGGATGGGTGAAGAGAAAGTAGAATACAGAGAATCGCCTATTACTTGGCAATAAACAGGAAGCCGACCACAATGGACCACACATCGCATGAGTCCCTTTATACAGAATGCCCAAAATGGGCAGATCTACTGAGGCAGGAAGCAGGGGGAGAGAGGACTGAGGAATGACAGGGTACTGAGTTTGGAGCTGAGACTGTTGGCTTCTGGACAACTAGACAAGGCAGTCACTGGGGCGAGATGCGCTGCTCCCTCCTCCTGACAGGTACGGGCACCATGCCTGAGACCCTGGCAGCCCAACTCAACCCAGAGTTGGAACAGGGCCATGTGGAGTCAAAGCAAAGAAGCAAGGCACCTGCAGGCCGGGGTGGCCAAGGGCGAGAGCCTGGCTTCCAGGGAGTTGGGAGATGGGCCTAGCCCACCTCAGACTTGGGAAGAGCGCTTGCTGCGAGCAGACCTTCTTAACCAGACAAAGCACAATTCTAAGACCGAAAGCTGAACAGATGAACTGAGAGAGGACAGGCCTATTCAGAAGGAACTCAGTGGCCTGCCAGGTCAGTGGGGGAAAACGTCTTAAAATACGGAGTGAGAACAAATGAAATAGACAAGGCGATGCAGATCTAGATGTGGAAGCCCAAGTGATGGGAGTTCCAGATGAGAAAGAGAATGATAGGGAGGTAATGGTTAGAGAAAATAAGTCCCGGACCTGAAGGAAGACTTGAACCGACAGCCTGGAGGGGCACTGGCTGAGGCTTTATTCAGTCAGTGCCAGGACAAGTTCCAGAGCCCCACGGACTCCAAGCATCCATAGAGAAAGAGCCAGCTACTTAAGACGCAAAGCAGCATCACTCCCCATCTACAACACGGGGGCGCTACAGAGCGAGGAGGGGAAGATATGACCTTGGACCACAAGCGAAATGCCTAGGGTTCCGGAGTCCTTTGCTAAGCCAGTGTACCCCTCAGCAGGCGGGATAAAAGTGAGCTCTTTGCAGATAAGCAAGGATCTCGATGGTGAATCTGCAGAAAATACTCCTGAAAGTTCTCTGACTGCCAATTAATCAAAACAGAGACCTCGAGGCAGCGGTAGGTGGAAAAGGAGAACGGAGGCAACCGTGCGCCTGATCACAGGCATGGGGAACTCTTAGAGGAGGATGACAGTGCACAGAGCATTGACCACGCACGGAATCTAATGAAGTTTCTCGAAATTCAAGGGCCATGCTCCAGAGAGATGACCCGTCAGGGTCTAGAACTAGAAGTCCAGAACTATCTTGGCAACACCAAGAGGTAGGGAACAGGTAGGATGAAGGGAAGAGTGAAAGCTTTCCAAGGGCTTCATCTCAGACTAGCAGAGAGGGCAAGAAAAAACTTTCCAAGGACCCATCTTATGGCCCGAGGGAGCGTTGGACTGCATAATACGTGCATGTGGGAGCAAGAGCTACGCTTTCTGGAAAATTCAATAGCAGGAGAAGTATGTGATTGTGAGGGTCTCTATGAGTAGAGAGAAAATAATGGTGGAATTTCCAAATTAATAAAGGGAAAAGAAAATGTAGAGTAAATCAACCAAATCAACAAGAATGAGAATGGGAGAAAAAGAGGAAATGACAGGTAATCTAGAAGTTAATTTGTAGAAGGAGTGAAACCCAGGCATATCAGTTATTATGTTAAACAGGAGCAAGTTAAATCCCCCAATAGAAGATTTAGATGATCAGACTGGTCAAAACCCAAAATTTAGCTATACGTTAGTAACAGAAAACATACTTAAAACAAAAAGGGGGTAAAAGAGTGATTTTTTTATATATAGAATTTTTGCAAGATTTTTTTTTTTTTTTTTTTTTTTTTGCTATGGTGTATGTGTGCTTGCCAGAGAGATGGAGAGACAGAAAATGAGAAGTCACCTTCTTGAGGAGATGGCCATTCTACAGTTCCTTTTACTTCATTCTGTTCTCGGGATCTTGGGCACGCACACACATGTGCCTGGCATGAGTTTTTTTTTTTTTTTTTTAAGAATTATTTATTTTAGTTATTATTATTATTATTTTTTAATTTGACCAGAGAGAGAGAGAAATGGAAAGTGAGAAAGCAAACCACCAGGTCTGGAACTCGAACCATGGTCAGCCATGTGAGTCCAGGCCCTCAACCCACCACACCACCTGCTGGCCCCCTGGTGTGACTTTTAAGCCACTGGGTCTGGAACTTGAACTACGGTTGACTACATGGGAGTCCAGTGAGGTTGACTACATGGGAGTCCAGTGACGTAACCATTACTCCATCAAAGTGATGTTAATATCAAACAAAATTGAATTAAATGTATCAAACTTAAGAGAGACATTAAGTACATAAATGGCAATAGTTTCAGACAAGGTTTTATTGTCATAAACCCAAAAGCACCAAACAACATGGCATCTAAATACAGAATGCAAAACTATTAGAAATCCAAAGAGGGGCCAGTAGGTGGTGTGGTAGTTAAGGTGCTAGACTCCCATATGGCTGACTGTGGTTCAAGTCCCAGATTTAGTGGCTTGCTTTCTCATTTTCCCTATCTCTCTCTTTCTGGTGTACTAAAAAATATAATAATAATACAGAAATAATTTTTTAAAAATAAAGAAATTTAATGAGAAGGCCAGCAGGTGGTGTGGTGATTCAGGCATAGGGTCCTATATGGTCAGTTGTGCAGTTTCAGTCCTGGACACAGGAGCTTGAAAAACATGCCAGGTACTTGCATGCATGCCCTAAGTCCCAAGAGAAGAATGGAGAAGAAGGGATTGCAGTGTGACCATCCCTACTGGGGGGGGGGGAACGATTTCTTATTTTCTGTCTCTCCATCTCTCCCTGGCAAGCATACATGCCCTAGACAATGGAATAAAACAAACAAACCTAAAAACAAAACAAAAAAAAACAAACAAAAAAATCCAATGAGAGGGGCCAGCAGTGGCATGGTGGTCAAGGCATTGGACTCCCTCATGGCCGACTGCAGTTCAAGTCTGGGATCTGGTAGTTTACTTTCTTGCATTCTTTTTCTCTCTCTGGTGAGCACATGTGCCCTGTAGCAAACTTTAAAATAATAATGATAAATAAAATTAAATAGTTCTTTTTTAAAAATCCAATGAGAAATGAGAAAATCTGCCTCTTGGCCGGAACTGCCTAAAAGAACACAAAGGGAAGCAGGAGAGGCACCTGACATATGTTCTCTGGGCCTTTTAGAAAACATGGAGTGTTTCCTCTGGCAACATACAAGCCAATCTACAGGAAAGGTGATAGTGTAGACATCAAGGGAATGGGTACTGTTCAAAAAGGAACGCCCCACAGACTTTAGCATGGCAAGACTGGAAGTCTACAATATTACCCAGCATGCTATACATTGTTGCAAACAAGTAAGTCAAGGGCAAGATTCTTGCCAAGAGAATCAGTGTGCTATTGAGCATATTAAGCTTTCTAAGAGCAGAGAGAGCTTCCTAAAACGTGTGAAGGAAAATGACCAGAAAAAGAAGGAAGCCGAAGAGAAATGTACCTGGGTTCAACTGAAATGCCAGCCTGCTCCACCCAGAGAAGCGCACCTGTGAGAACCAATGGAAAGGAGCCTGAGCCACTGGAACCTATTCCCTATGAATTCATGGCATGATGGGTGTTAAACTAATCTAGGAGTCCGCCAGGAGAGCTGAGAGGTAGTGCTTTCAGGAAATAAGGGAAATGAGGACCTTCTGCTGAGAACTGACCCAGGTAGAGCCCTCCTCCACCCCCCAAATCCTTCTCTGGCTCTTTTTCTCTTTTTTTCGGAGAGGTTTTTGCTATAGGGCATGTGCGCTCGCCAGAAAGACAGAGACAGACAGACAGACAGAAAGCGAGAAA